CATCTATAGGACATAGGGAAACCTATATAACCTCATTTGGCCTCACTTTTTAAAATCTGTAATTACTGGCCTTGAAATACATCAACTCTAAGCTTACTCATCCTCTTATGGAGGATATTATATGCTATAATTCTAAAATTTTAACAACACACTTTTTTTTTTTCACTTGGCGTCTAGGTCACTACACTTGCCTAGTTTCCCTCCATTCCTTCTCCATGTCTTTTGCTGCTTCCTCTTCATTTCTCTAACTGGTAAATTTGAAATATCCCAGAATTCAGTCCTTATACATTTTCTCCTTTCTTTCTACACTCAAGTGCTTGATGATCACATCAACTTCCATGGATATAAAAACCATACATATGCTGAAACTCCTACATTTATTTCTCTAACCTGGACCTCTCCTCTGACTTCCAGATTTGTATGTAACTGCCAATTCAGCAAGTCTACTTAGATGATTGATAAGCATTCAAAATGTAACCTGCTCAGCCTGAAATCTTGAGCCCTAGTCTCCTCCATCTCAGCTATTGGCAGCTCTCTTCTCCCAGTTACTTAGGCCAAAAGCTTTGGATTCATGCTTGGTGTCTCTCTTTCCCTTAAACCACACATCCAATTTATTAGCACTTGCTGTTTCCTCTGTGTTCAAAATATATCCGGAACCAGACTACTCTGTCTCTTCCACTATTACCATCCTGGTGGAAGCTACTATGATCCTTGGCTCAGATGATTGCAATGGACTCCTATCTGTTCTCATAGATTCTGTTCCAACACACTGTTATCTCAAAAGAGCAGCCACAACAACGTTCTAGAACTGTAAGCCAGATCATGCCATCTGTTTGCTCAATGGCTTCTCATCTCTCTGAGAGCAAAGGTCAAAGTCCTCACAGCAGACAAACAAAAGTAGGGTGGCAGTATAATATCACCAAATCAGACTACTTAGAAGAATTCTAAAATGCTAAATGTTATGAGACATCAAAAAAATACACATAAACTGGGGCTTTCCCAGGCATATCTGGATTCATGGTCACCCTTCTTGTAAGACTCCAGACAATCTGTCTTCCTCTCTATTTCTGTGGTCTTTTCTTGTACTACTTTCCCATGTGCTAACTCTGCTCCAATCACGCTGCCTTTGTTTTTCCTTGAACACACCAAGAATATCCCTCTATCAAGGACTTTGCAGTTGCTGTTCCCTCTGCTTGGAATGATCTTCTTCAAGATCTCCACATTGCTTGCTTCATGAAAGATTTGAAAACATTCGTGGGGCTCTCAATTAGGACATAGAATATATGGTCTTTGGTTCCACGAAATGCAGATGTAATTTTGTGAGTTATCATTAGCTAAAGTGATGACTGAAGTGGTAGAAATAGATGAGATTGTCAAGAAGAGATATTAGAGTGATTAATGGCACTCTAATGATTGGCTAGAGGAAGATGATGGAGATAGAGAAGGAATGGCCTAGCAATGGGAAAAAATTCACTTAGGATAAAATATTTTCTCGGTGCTTGGTACAGATTAGATGCTTGATAAACATCTTAGGACTAAGTGGCTTACTAAATAAATGCACGCTTACATAAATTATGGTATATGAATGAGCGATGATCGTCCTAGAAGTGAGTAATCAAAATCCCAACTCAAGTTTAGAGTAAGATTCTGAATCCCTAGCAATTATTGATAATTTATAATTACTATTAATAATTCTCCCCAAGACATGCATTTTCTTCTCACATGGTAACTTGGGTTTCTTTTGGAGAAAGAGTATGATAAATATTTTAGACTGTTTACATCAGGGCTTAGAGAATTATCTCTAAAGTCACATTGTTTGGGATAAAATCTTGGTTCTCCCTCTTACTAGCTATGTGACCTTGGGCAATTTACCTACTTTCATATCTTATTTTCTTATTTTGGTTAAATGAAGATGATAGTACCTCCTAGGACTCAAGTGAGTAATACATCAATGAGTAAATTTAAAGTGACTAGAATAATAGTTGGCCCACGTTACCTGCCCATTAGTTGTGTTATTGCAAGAGACTTCCTCCAAAGCACTGAATTTCTTCTTCATTTAAGATGAAGAACTCAGTCTAGAAACTGGATGATAGTCTTACAGTCTGTGTAGTTGCTCAGCTAAGTTGTCTTTTCACTTGCATTGAAATTTTCATTATTATTTATAAAAAACTAAGTGTGACTGTCACAAGCAGCCTGTCTAAGAGGGCCTATAATTTTCTTACAATTATTTTCACTTGTTTCTGGTAGTCTAGCAATGCCGTCTGGCATGGAATCCTGTCATCGCCATTGAAATCAAGAAGCTTATTTCAGCTGGATTCTTTTCTCCTTCCATCTCCAGACTAAAGACACACTTACAGGGAGGTTTTCAAAAGTGCTGGCACACGTCTCACTGTGTAGTTCTCAAGACTTTGGTCATCCACTTTGGGAATACCGTTAGAAGGTGAGTGATGTGTCTCATGTGAGAAACTATTCCAACATTCTATCTTAAGTTTTTGAATTACATCCTCCTTCTGCCAAGAAGTTTGTGATGTCTCAAATTCATTTAGTTTGGGCTGCCTTTGAGGCCTGGTTCAGTCAACCAACTATGTTAATAATTATAACCTTCCTAGAACTCTCTGATACTTTCACATATTGATAAATTTTGTCTAATCTGATTGCACAATTTTCCTTTGTCTAGTACCTCACAACCGGCTCCCACATATATGGCCCAGATTTTAGACAATATTAATTAATTAAATCCTTCCATTCTTATGTGTAAGCCTCCTCCTGAGATTGACCTTCTAATTGTCACCCTCCTGAAGCATTCTGGGCTATGCTCTAGTTATAAATCTGGAGACAATAAGCAGTGGATGTAGTGAGGTATGATGAGAATTGGTCTTTTCTTGTGGGCATCTTGCATTTTAAGAAAGGCAGAAATACTACCAGGTGGGAAATAAGGGGTCATATTTTAGATGGCTAGAGAAGTTTAATGTGAAACAGGAATGTTTGAAGAGAATTCTTCCATAAACTATATTCAAATTTCTGGGATCCTATTATTTCCCAATTATGTAGCAATCAAACAGAGAATTAGAAAATCCATTTAGATTTCTGTTGAAGTTTTGTGATCTGCAGAATTAAGATTTACATTTGCTTTTCAGTTATCTCAGACCCATGCAAGGAATGAGTTTTTAAATATTTTTTTAATATTTATGTTCTTTTAGCACAGTCAGAGAAAGGTCATAGCTTCCCTTCTACACCTTGAGCCAAGAAGTGAGGGATTTGAACTTGTCATTCTTTTTCTGTGTATCAACAGTAAAAACAGCCACAGCCCCACACCGTCCTGCAATTTCTCATGAAATCTGAATATGCTATTGTATAGCAGAGGCCACTCATGTTCTTAGACCTTAGACCTTGACTTCAAAGTGTGAATCACACCAAGTGACCACAGATGGTGAGTCCTGTTTCCATAGACGGCCAAGGTTTCGTCCCTGGATATAAACTGGATTTTCTTACATTTTTCCCTAACCAGTGCAAACATTTGACCCCATAGTCTTTTCATTTTCCTGAATTTCTGCTGCCTGTCATCACTGCTGTTATGGATTGCTGGCCTAGTCAGAGTTCCTGGTTGCAAACAACCTAAACCAACTTGGGCTGATGTAAGTAGAAATGTAATTTATAGATTTTATCTGAAGTTCAGGGAAATTCAGGGAAAGCTCTAGAACCCAGGATCATCAATGAACAGATATGAAGAGCATGCTGACATTCAGAGCCATCTTCAGAATCATACCCCAAAAGCAGCCTCATGAAACCATAATAAAACTGGACACTGGATGCCATTTCTGGCACTACTGGCCAAGCTTCTTTTGAAATCTGGCTATTGCTCCCCTGACTACAGCTGTGACCACCACCAACATGGATTTTCTATTTTCCTTACTTCTTTGAGTCACTACTGAGGCAGAATACTAGCCCTAAATAAGTCCACATCCTAACCCCCGGAACCTGTGAATATGTTATGCTACATGGCAAGGTAAGGAGGAATTAAGGTTGCAGACGGCATTAAGGTTGCTAATCCGTTAACTATGAGATGGGGATTATCCTGAGTTATCTGGTTGGGCCCAATGAAATTATAAGAGTCCTTATAAATGAAAGATGAAGGCAAGAGTGCCAATGTCAGAGTGATGCAATGTGAAAAAGATTCGACCAAATATTGCTGGCTTTGAAGATGTCTAAAATAAACTCCAAGTAATTTAATCTTTTAACACATAATGCAAACAGGCTTTCTTTCTGCCTCTCTCTCTCTATCTCTCTCTCACTGTCTGTGTCTATATGTATATGAATAAAATGTTTCTGGAAAGAGAACTGACGTGAGAACCGTTGACATTGGTTGTCTCTAGCTTGGAGGACAAGTAGACTAAGAGTCTTGACATTTGACTGATGGAATTTTAATTTTTGAAAGTATTATTATTTTCATTAACCATATAGAGTGAGTAAATTTCAAACTATAAAGTCAAATGTGCAAGACCATACTATTTTTATTTACAGTAATTAAAAGATTAAGAACTGGATGGTGGAGAAGGGGCTGACCCAAGAGGGCAACGGAGCAGTGTCTAGAGGTGGTAGAACAAGTCTAAGCTTGCAATTATTCTTAATATTAATGTCTGTTTTGCCAGACCTTGCTTACTTCCTGATAAATTAGCAGCATTTTCCTCCGATTAATCCCACTTTGGGGGCACCCTAATTTCCTGGGTTACTGTTTCCAGGGATTGATTCAGATAGAATGCCCTTAGTTTTCAATATGCCCCAACGGTTCCACTAAATATAATCTAAAAATCTGCAAGATTCCCCACTGAGCATTATCTCTGTTCTGAACAGAGGTTATATTATCTCACATTCCTGAAGGTCATTGCATTATTAATCTAGAGACTTAGAATTCAATATGCTGTTTTCAAGAAAATCGCTCGAGTTCCTGAGTGTAGACATGCATTTGTTAAATCTATGAAAAGTGACAAAAAAACAGGAACGTTTTCTTATGATATTTTATTACGGGCATCTGTAAGAAAAAAAGATCAACAACCACATACAAGCTTACAAAGTTAAATTTCAACACATTCTCTGTGTTACTGTGACAAAAGAAGCCCCATAATTTGTTTTTTGTTGTTGTTGACTTTTACAAGATGGAGGGAGAGAGTCCCCTGAAGTGACACGCCAATGAATCTTTTTGACAGGAGACATGGACAGATGATGTGCATTTATGTTTTGAATGCAAGGCAACAATTCTGACCTAGAGTTTGAAAAGTGAAAGTACATTAGCACCATAACGTGTCTTTAAAGCCTTCCCAAATATTGGTAATCTTGACCAGCAATGACAAGAAAAGAGAAAAGCACCTTAAAAGCAGTTGATATCCAAGATTTAAATAATTGTGGCCTTTAAAATATTCCTTTAAATTCCTGCATTACATTCTACTTTTTCTTTTTTACCAGTATTTTAGGAGATAAATAAATGAAATTTATGTTTTACCAATTTATACAATTTTTTTTGTCATCTGGAACTTACTGAATTCATCTGTGTTTCTGACCAGCTTGAGGTAGTTGAAACAGGGAGGTCTTTTCTAATTTCCTGTTTGACTATTTCAGAAAGAAAGGTTATCTTTTCACGGTAAGTATAGTCATTGCTCTGCAAATGGGCTAGGATTCAAAGAATGTAACGCAGTGTTCTTGTAAGAGTGTTGAAGTTTATTTATTATAGCACCATTGAGACATTTTGAAATTGGAATTGGTAAAAAAATAGAACAAAAAGCATTTGAACTGTATTTGGTGTAACAGCAAAAAAAAAAAAAAGTATCTTTTTTTGTCAAATTATACTTTTTCCAAAAATTTTGGAAATAAATAACTGGAATTTAGTTGGTCACTTGTACTGGTTGACAAGATTAAAACAAGAGGAACACATATGGAGTGTGACATTTTTTGCTGGGGTTTCAGATAAGAGTTTGGTTTATAAAAAGCAAACAGGGCCAATGTCCACACCAAATTCTTGATCAGGACCACCAACATCATAGGGAGCAATATCTACAATAGGTAGTCTCACGGCCTTGCGTGTTCGATATTCGAAGACTGTTTTGCCCCATTCCCCAGTGTGTTTCTGTAAAAAAGAGCAACAAAATGTAAGTAATTATGACATTACAATTACTTAGACACTTTCTCTGACTGGCCAAATTAAAAAAAAAAAATTTGTGGGGGCCGGCCCCGTGGCATAGCAGTTAAGTGCACGCGCTCTGCTACTGGCGGCCCGGGTTCAGATCCCGGGTGCACACCGAAGTACCGCTTGTCAGGCCATGCTGTGGCGGCATCCCATATAAAGTGGAGGAAGATGGGCACGGATGTTAGCCCAGGGCCGGTCTTCCTCAGCAAAAAGAGAGGAGGATAGGCATGGATGTTAGCTCAGGGCTGATCTTCCTCCCCCCCCCAAAAAAAAAATTTGTTTGGCAGTAGTTGCCAACTTGCCATGCTATCTTCCATACATATGAGACCTGTTCCACTTCAAAGCCATAATCGTCCCAGTTGATAAACCAAATTGTTAACCAAAAGCCTTAAAAGGCCTCCAGGTAAACCTAGCAGGGAGATTGCCATAGGTCAGTCCATTCTTGGAAGGCTCAGTTCTGGTTGTTACTACCAGGTATATAGCTGGTTTACTAAGAAGTGGATAGGTTTCTCACAATGGAATTTGCTAATATTAGAAGTCAATTCTCCTTCCGTTCATAAATGATAACAACAAAGGGTAGACTTAAAGTTAACCTTTAAAATGAAAAAGAAAGCAGAGATTTTAGAGCGAGTCCATATTAGGCTATTATGCAGAATGTATAGTAACTGGTAAAGTTTACATTACGGATTTAAATTTCAATTGCTTTCATTTCAACTAGTTTTCACCTGGAGGTTGAAAATATATATTTATTTTTTGTGGTTCTTAACATTCCCTGCAATGAATCTATAGATTCTATACGACTCACACCAAATGCCATCTTTTATTCACCCTCATTATTTCTATTTCTTCTTTTCAAAATAGTCAACATGATTAAACTAGAAACGCTAAGCTCATTATGATCCATGCTTATAAAAATGTTACTTACAGTGCAACCATCCTCCAGAACTGTGTATGCGAATTTGCTGTTTCCTTCAGCCTTGAATTCGCCTTCATTTGACCCCATCAGCTTCAGGGCTTTCTTCACATTCCCACTGGCATGATCCATGTATGCAATGCTGTTCTTGCAGTGATATGTAATGTTCTGGGAGGCCCGGCTGGAGAGAAGTCGGAGGAATGCCAGCTGGACATCGAGGACATCTTCAGGAAGGTCAGGATTGCCATAGCTAAACTGTGATAGGGAACAAATAAACCTGATCAAACATTTTAGTTACAACTGTATGTAAGGGATTCATGCAGTATAGTATGGTCATTCTATCGTAGGTTGTTCATATATTATATGTATGAATATTTTATATGTGAATATGTTTTTATTGCATGTATAACGTATAATGTTAGAGAAAAAAAGGTCTTAAGAATTGAAAGAAAAGTGGTTGCAAACAAAGAATAATTCAATCTAGCTTCGCTCTTGAGGGATGAGTTATAAACATAGTCACCTGAATATATAAAATCAATTGGGCTTCTCTATTTATTAACTAACTTTGCTTTGTGATGAACAAATGGGAGGAACCAAAAAATTCAGGTAAGTAGGGATGACTTAGTTAAAAAAAACGGTATATCCTTTCTTACCTGAAAACCACCATTCATGGATTCTCCAAACCAAACATGTTTCTTCTCAGCACCAGAATCTGTCCACCAGTTCTTACGTGGAACACTCAGAGGACTGGCATTTATGCATGTTTCCCCAGTTTCCATATTACAGAATACTTTAATAGCATCCATCTTGCAACCTTGGTTAGGATCAACCCAATATTCTCCTGAATAGTCACAAAAAGGGACAATGGGAATTGGTTATAAAATCCAGTAATAAAGTTTGGACCAGAATGATTTTGTTTGTTTACCTGATAAGGCATTCATAATGTATTACGACTGTTAATGTATTATGACTGCTAACATATTTCTACTTTATAGTGGAGCATAATAGACAAACTTTTAGATTGAAATTATTGAGGTAAAAGAGTTAGCTATAACCACTAGGAAGCACTGAAGTAAAAAATAGCATCTTGATATTGAACAAAGACGATATACTAAACCAAGACATTTTGATTGGTGTATTATATTTACTGAAATCTCTCTCTCTTTTTAAAGATGACTATCTGTTTAATGTAGTTTTGCTTAATAATGTGAGCTCTTTGTCTAATCTAGATTTATGTCAATAAGTCTAAACCTAAAGTCCCTACAACTGATGATTGTCCCCTGTTTTAAGAAATGTCCCGTAATTTCCAGAAATAACACCTAACAAAGGCAATGCTCCATGTCAAGATATTTGAAAGCTTGAAGTAATTTTATCTTTCAGAAAGAATTAACCCAATACCTGCAAAACCTTACATTATTACAATATTTGATTTAATTCTATACAATATTCTGGAATTTTTCATTAATTTGAAAAAATTTAACAATTAGATTTGTTACAAAAAATTAATAAATAAATATTGCAATAATTAAATTGCAACTTATGTCTGCATCGAATTACATACATTTGATCCTGAAAACACAGTGATATACGTTGCTTTATCACTCAAACAACTTTGCATGATATGCAGAAACCCATCAAACTATGCTTTGTATTAAGATTTCCACAAAACTGTCTTTAGCTTTTCTCACATTTGGAATATTTTGAAGTTATTCAAGTCACATTTTAAGTACACCTGCAAAGTTCACGTTTTCTTACAATATCAAGCAGTTTCAATTCAACTAGTGTTCTTTAAGTACTATTTCTGCTATAAAATATTTTCTATTCACAGTAGAAGTTTCCTCTTCCCCAAATTCTAATATAAGCAGCTTTCTCTGTAATCTTGTTGCCACGAGTGTGAAAGGTTCCCCAACATACCACTCTTGAGGTCGGGATGGCAGAATTTCAGGTCTCGGCAGTTCCGAGCAGGGTTTTTACGAGAACCATCAGGACTGATGAGGCTTTCTATTTGTCCATTGACTGATTTGAGTGAAGTCATAATCTCTTCGGTGTTGATTCTGAAATCCATTGGTTCATCTCCATAATACGGGGCATAACCACCAGATTTTTCAGCTCCAATAGCTCCAGAGATGGCAGCAGCCCCAGCACCACAGCATGGACCAGGGGCACCCGGAGGTCCAGGAGGGCCTGGTTGTCCTGGGTGGCCCGGGGAGCCCTAGGAAGGGTAAGAACATACATCATCGAGGTGAATTGTTTGGTCTCCACTGAAAGAATATGTTCCTAGCCCAAGAAATGCATTAAAAATAACAAATACATTGTGTATCATAATTATTTTAATAAAGGTTTATTTGGGTTGTTTTGCAATCAAATGAGAACCAATTTATAATAACTATAATTCATTATCATGAAATTTGTTGTGTTCTACTGTGTAAGAATCAGTAGTGTCAGAGCAAAAATTTTACTATATCGTGTTTCCTTCTGTATAAGTTATGTAAGCAATTCTAATGCTGACATGACAGAGGGGATGTGATCAGGAAACCCAGATTCTGATCCCAGATTTGTCATTAACTTTATGTCTTTGGGCTGGTCACTTAACTTATTTGTGTTTCAATTGCCTCGTATGTAACTTGTGGGGATAGTAGTTTTTATTCCATTTACACTAAAGGTGTAAGATAGGAAGATACTAGGAATGTTGGTGTCAGTAGCAAAATACGAATCATGGAAGCTAAGAAGTAGAATGTACCACACACTTGCAAAGCATTATGATTATCATAAGTGTGAAATCTCTAGTGTGAGATCAACACTAGCAGAGTTCATTCGATTAATTGGGCTTATGTTTTTATCCTGATATAACTGTTATCTGATCAAACTGTACACAGATTTTTTCTCCCTGTTATAGTGTGATGGAGAAAGTCTTAACGTGGTGGAGAATGTCTTAAAGTCATTGTTCATTTTCTAAATCGAGTTGGGTGATTGCATTGTGTTTAAGTTACTATCTCAGCTTTAAAATATTGCAAAGTGGTTCTGAAAACGTGAAGATGATAAGCAAATTAAATATACATGTTTCTAAGTGATGTCTTACCTCAGATCCTCTTTCACCTCTGTTACCTCGAGGCCCTGGTGGTCCAATGGGACCTGGATGTCCACTTGTTCCATCTTTACCAGGGGGCCCACTGGGTCCAACAGGTCCCTAAAACATTATCATGGTATCACAATGCTAGAATAACTTCCTGCAGTGCAAACATTTAAAAAATACGGACCTTCCAATATCTTTCTGTGGTACTTACTCTGGGGCCTGCAGGTCCTGGACTACCAACTGCGCCTTGGTGACCAGCAGGACCCTGAAAGAAAAGGAAGGGTGAATATGAGTGAAGACTAAAAAGGTTCAGAAAACTGTACATTTACCATCAGATCAAGAAACTTGGGGATCATGACAAAATATGATTTCCTTTTTTTTTTTAACTCTCTCCATTGTCTCATGCCAACTACTATTTCAAATAAGACCTCGAATCCATTTCTCATCTCTTTTAGCATATACTTTTAGAGATGAATATTTTTCTACTATCCGTCTCTAAGACTTGCCTATCTCATCAATTAAAACACATTGAAGGGGATTTTCTAACAAAATGGATGCACTCACTGGAGAGCCTGGGGCACCTGGAGTACCAGGGAATCCTCGATGGCCTTTGATACCAGCAGAACCACGTTCACCAGTTTCACCTTTGTCACCACGTGGGCCTTGGGGACCCTTCACAAACAGATTTCAAATTAAGGTCATATACACAGTTACACATTGGAAAAACAAAATAGAACTTATAACAATTAAGTCCATTTTATGACATTCTATTAGCTAGAAATCCCATCAACAGACACTGCATACATGGAACAAAAAAAGATTGTTCTTGTGGTTGTTTCGATTTTAAACTGATAATTGCATGGAATTCCAATAATCAATGTGTGTATCCTTAGCCCCAAAGAACTTTTAGATCCTGAATTGCTTTCTATATCATCAAAGGAAAGTTTAAATGTTGCTCTATAGTTATGTGTTTTGTCATCCCCTTTTCCCAAACATGCCAGAAAATAGAATATTTCCAACCCTGCAGCATGAGTTAAAAAAAGAAAAGACTTACAGCAGGACCTCGGGCACCAGCAGGACCTGGAGCTCCAGCAGGACCAGCAGGGCCCTAAAATAAAAACAAACAAATGAACAAACACACAGGGAATTGTTTATTTGTTGATATAGTTTTGTTTTATTTAAAAGTTAATAATTTCAGGGGGCCGACCCGGTGGCGTAATGGTTAAGTAAGCGCGCTCTGCTGCAGCGGCCCAGGGTTCGGATCCGGGCGCGCACCTACGCACTGCTTGTCAAGCCATGCTGTGGCGGCGTCCCACATAAAGTGGAGGAAGGTGGGCACGGATGTTAGCCCAGGGCCAGTCTTCCTCAGCAAAAAGAGGAGGATTGGCGATAATGTTAGCTCAGGGCTAATCTTCCTGACACACACACAAAAAAGTTAATAATTTCATTGTGATGGAATAATAGCATGCATACTGTTATCGAAAGTTAGTATCATTTTCTCCTTCAAAGTCCTGTTTATATCTTTCCCAGGAAGTCTAAACAGGAAGCTGAGAAAGTTGTACTAACTCAGCCTTGCATTTACCCAGTGAATATCCATTTGGTTTAATTAATACTGTTTCGAATTTTAATAATGAATTCTTCATTGACCACTGCCAGAAACTTCTCATTTATCTTTATCACCACAATTTCCTAAGGAATGACTAGCATGAAAACTGTAAAACAAATGACAGTAGATCTTTGGATTAGCAGATATGACATTCTATCTTCTGCCTTCTAATCTCTTTACTGAAGAAAACAGACAAGTAGAGAAAGATGGTGCTTATCAGAACTCACAGTTTCTCCTCTGTCACCACTCTTTCCAGCTGGGCCGACGGGACCAGCTGGACCCGGATGACCAGGAGCACCAGGGGCACCAGGAGAGCCACTTTCACCGCGATCACCCTGTGGGAAAATTCACAGATCCAAAACAAATATAAGCAGCAGTTATTGCTTTAATTACACAAACCTGTTGTACATGTGTTTGTTATACCTTGCCACCAGGAGCTCCATCTCGGCCTGGCAGGCCATCTGATCCAGGGTTTCCCTGATTAAAGAGAAGAAAGGAGAAAAGAAATCAAACTCTTTGGAACCATTTAAATACCATCTAAGTCATGCGTTCTCAATGGGAGCAATATCATCCTAAAGAGAATAAAAACTGGTTCTTGGGAGCGTGTGTGTGTGGCCCTTCAAAAGTTGACAATATCTAAACGTATATGCAATGTATCTAGTTCTAAAATTTCATGGGGTGAGAGAGGGAGAATTAATTAGGAAAAAAAAGTCTAAAAATGATCCTTAGGGGAGAGATAATAAATAAAAGCTTGACAGACAGTAATTTAAACTGATATTGGAAATTTACAGTTTAAGAAAAGACTAATCACAGATAACATTCAGAACGTTTTCACCCAGAAGGAATGTTGTAAACTGGGGATCTCCCTACCCCCAATTTGTTTATTTAGCTAGAGACCATATTCTTCTCCATTAATGATCATTCATTGGGTAAATACTAATTAACATGAACATTTAAGGCTATTCTAAGTTGTAACAAAAAGAATATCTGTTATTAGAGGAGGAAAGAGAATTTTGGCATGTGACAATATTTACACTCTCAGACACGAAGGCCTAATTTGACGGTTGCTTAAATAAATTATCAAATACTACCTGGTTGATTGGATGTTTCCTAAGAACTAGTACTTACATCTCTTCCAGGTTCACCAGCTGTACCAGCCAGACCAGGAAGACCCTGAGGTCCAGGAGGACCACGTTCTCCACTGAGCCCAGCGGGTCCTGGTTTCCCATTTTCACCCTGTGTACAAAGAAATAAAAGACATTTTATTTTAACTTAAGAAATCAATTACTATGATGTTATCAGATGTCTTTATTTCCCAGGGAAAAGCCCTGTTTTATTCAATGTCTATTGAATTTTTTCCTAAAACTATCCCCACTATAGGAGAAAAGCTTTGGGGAAGCAAGCTTCTTGTGTTTTCGAACTTGGCCAATGACTCTGGATCCCAAATGGCTGAGTAATTACATTGATTATCATATTCAGAATAGATTCTAATATGAGATGTATAAATAGACACAACTATTGTAAAAAAATAATAATGATGAGCCATCATGAAACTGTAGGTTTATGGTGACCTTTAGAATTAGGGTATATTGAACATTTGGCTCTACTTAAAGAATACACATTTACTAGATATGTTCATATAAATTGAATACACTTAAATGTTATATTTTAATTTCGTAATATTATATGACATTTTATTTATAGAGAGGTGCTCGAAGTGACAAAATGTGAGCCCTAATAATACAGAATTTTATTTTCCCACTTGCTAAATGGATATTTAAGATGCTAAGCATTAGGATGTTATAGTAATATTAGTGAAAGAAAATCAGGAGTGCAAAAAAAATAGAATGGATGGATAATTGGCATCAACTAAAGGCTTTCAAAAGTCTATAAACTGACATATTTCCCTCTTCAAGACTGACAGTCAACAAAATGAAAAATGCTCCTAAGTTTCCTAACAGAGGTGTTTGAGATGGCAGGATATTTTTCTGTGATATCCATTTATTTGTGCTTATGTTCAAGGCTAGTCTATGATGTGCATTGTTTTTGTGTTCTGGATCCTTTTAATCATATGCACACTTCCAGAAAACGTGAAAATATCAAGAATTTGTATCTGAAAACTTGTTCATACTATATTTGATATAGTTAGGTGATCTCTGAAGTCTATCAAAGGAAACGAGAGTCCAGTGAAAGATGGCTGTACTCACCCTGGGGCCTTGTGGGCCAGGACTTCCCCTAGTGCCTGGTATGCCTGGTGGTCCCGCAAGACCCCGTGCTCCAGTAATCCCTGCAAGTCCAAGTGGGCCTGGAGCTCCCTGTTGTGAGAGAGAATGAAGCCTTAGCTCTTCTTTATGTGACTATGTTTTCCTGTACTGAATTTGTGATGAAAAATAAAACAGTATTGCCAATCAATAGAGCAATGAAGTTACTGACTCACCGGAGGGCCCTGGGCGCCGGGTGGTCCCTTCTCACCTGGTTGGCCAGCATCACCTTTTGGTCCAGACACCCCAGGGCTGCCAGGAGAACCATTGCTACCAGCTGGACCTGGGGGTCCATCTTTGCCAGGAGCACCGCTGGCGCCTGGAGGGCCTGGGTTACCCTACAAAGAAATGTTTGAAATTTGAGTGTTTTATAATGAAAAAGTGAATTTTTCTTCCCTTCTTTGCCTGAGTTCAAATAATTTTATATGAGATTTAATACAAAGAAAACTAGCAATGGGTAAATTTCTCATGCTATGCATATATGAACACTCTTTATGGAGTATATGGTGAAAAAATACTTTAAAAAGTACTCACATTACTACCAGGAGGACCAGGAAGACCACGAGCACCAGGGAAGCCAGCAGCACCCTGTGAAGTGATAACACATTTTTGAATATCAAAAGTTAAGTAGAACAAATAATTAACAGCTAAAAACAAAGTATAAGAAATGTGGTAGGATCTTCATTCTACCCTGGGGTCACTCATGGTTTGCTTTTCCTTTTGGAATTTACATAGTCATGTATGAGTGATTACCATTTTTGTATTGTCTTTAGGGATCTAGTGCTTTCAAAGCAATATTTATACAGATTGATATTAATTCATGCTTTTCAATAATGTTTAAGAGGATCAATACTTACAGGACCTCCAGGACTGCCACGTTCACCTTTGACACCTTGGGGACCAGGGGGACCCTATATGGAGTGGAGGTGGAAATGGAAATGGTTTATAAGAATAGCACCAAAATGAAAATTTAGGAGAAGTATTAAGTCTTTGAAAAATCAGTAACTCTACTTATTGTGATAATTGTAATTGTGATATTATGTTGAGCACCTTAAACTTATACAAGGGTACATATCAATTATGTCCCAATAAAGCTGAAAAAAAAAATCTACAACAGAAATGAGAACCTACAGCAGAAAAACCTGAAAAGCCAAAAACCAGTAACTCTATGAAGAGGTCAAAATAACTTGATTGAGGTCATATCTAGACTGTTGGAGATAAGCTTTGAATTCAGAACTATATTCCTTTGAAGATTGTACTCTTGTCACCATGACGAGCTCTCTCAGTATGAAGTGTTAAATTACTGATAAACCTGCGTGCTTTCCAATAGAAGGCTTAGGGAAAGAAAGAATACTTACAGCAGGCCCAGAACCTCCAGGGGCTCCTGCAATTCCAGGAGGGCCTCCTTCACCTTTCTCACCAGGAGCACCTCGTTCTCCTTTAGCACCAGGCTCACCATTTTGTCCCTACATCCAGAACAACAGCCTCTGAGTTGACATCCTTCACAATACATTTGGCTTATCATTATTTTTCTTCAGAAAATAGAATTCTTCAGGGAGAGAGTTGTCGAGATAAAATCAGAGAAGAAGGCTCTCCGAAGACATGGCAAAACAAAGTCAAGCAAAATATTTCCATGATACAAGAAAATTATCAAGAAAGTGTTAAGACGCACATTATTTGCCATAAGGGAGAAAGTGTCTGCAAGGATTGTGCATTTGAAAGTCAGCACCAGTAAATTCATCTGAGAAAGATAGGGCTAAGAGCTAATTTTAATTAGTATCATCCTATAATGGAAAAACTTTTAAAATTTTCAAAATGCTTTTAAATCTAGGGTATATTAGCCTTATTAACCTGGATAAAAACAGGACAGTTGTTTTCATCTCCATCTTCTAAAGAGCAAGAATAGAAATAAAGTAAAAAAAAATAGGGATAAGATAACCCTATAGGGAATGAATGTCTGAGGCAGGACTAGAATCCAGACTTGACTTATACTTCTGCTATTTTTCAGTGAGTTCGCGATTCTAGGCTATGTGCCGTGTATATTTTAATGTTCATACTTACAGGAGCACCAGGGAAGCCAGCAGGTCCAGGAGGCCCAGTTTCACCTCTCTCACCCTGAAGTGAAAAATATCCTTGTTAGTCGCAGTGAAGACGTCTTCCCAGAGGGAGCGCACATCACCCTCTGTATATCTTGTCTTTCCTTTAAGCAGGAAGAGTGCCAAGCTAACTAACATAGTTTAACCCCTGAAGACTTTTCCATTTCTCAACAAAATTAGAAGTGGACAACACCAGAACCATTGATTCCTTCTGCCTCTGACTTTGATATTATTTTCAAGAAAAATAATTTGAGAATTTTGAAGTGTTTAGCACATTTAATTGTATAACTTCTAAAAATCTGAGGATTTAAAAATATAGTAAAAGGGTTGAGAAATCAATCAATCAATTAATTAATTAAAAGATTTACTATATAGTCATGTGCTGGATAAAGATGTTTTCGTCAAGGAGCACATATATGACAGTGGTCCCATAGACCAAGATTAGTACCATAGAGCCCAGGTGTGTAGTAGGCTACACCACCTAGGTTTGTGTAAGTACACCGTTATGCTTGGACAACGACGGAATCGCCTAACGCCGCATTTCTCAGAACATTTCCCCATCATTAAGCAGGGCACTAAGTGTATTTCTCTCCTGAGTCACAAATTCTGAAGACAGAGAATTTTAGGTCTAGAAGGAGCCTCAGGCAAAGATCCTATAGGTTTAAGAAATACTCATTTACAAGGGTATATTACTTGTACAATTTTTATATTTTTTCCAGAATTATTTAGGAAAGAAGGCATGATTTAAAATGGTCTTTTGTGAATTTTAGATTTAAGAACTTTAGCCTGCACTGCATGTCGTATGATTCCTAAAGACGGAATGCCACCATGGACACTCAGAGCCCTGGGCAGAATTGCTAGAGGGAGGCACAAGTAGCTGCTGCCTGTGTGGGGTTAAAAAGCATGTTGAAACGTCTTTAATACTCACAGGGCCACCACGAGGACCAGCTACACCCGGAGCTCCAGGGGCACCACCTTCACCCTGGAAAAAGAGAAAAAAAGTAATATTTCCCCGCATCCAAAAAGCCAAAAACATTTTCTTTTTGTTTCTGAATAGTGATAAGTGTCACCTTATCTCCAGGCTGACCAGCTGGACCAGGGGGACCAATGGGACCGGTAGGACCCTGGAAGAAACAAAAATATATTTTTAATTTTGAAGATAAAAAGCATCATTTTTCCTATTAATCAAGCAGAGAGTATATAGACATATCATTTATCTAACAAGCTAGAGAAGATGATTTCTTTTATGGCTTGAATGATATGCTCTTCACTCCGTGTGTAAATACTGCCGAGCTTAGTCAATATAAGATTCTATGGGGATGACAAGATTCAGTGGCAGTTGATTGATTCATTTTTCTTTCTATTGCAGAAGAAGAATAAGATGTGATATAAGATCTTACAGTGAAATCTTTTAAAAATTAAAGAACATTGCCTTATTCAACTGCTTGATAATTCAGAATGTTTCATTCAACTACTCAAAGTAGCATTACACATATTAAAGTTTTCAAATTGACATTTTCAAATATTAATGTTTTACTTATATTACATAAATAAAATATTAGGTTTTCTTTTTCAATTGGATGATGGCTACCCATCTAGTCTGTCAAAAGTGAAGTATTTATAAGTTTCTTTAAGGCAATTACAGTAAATATTATATCTATGTAATGGCTTAGTTATCATGTTTATTTGCTGTAGTCATAGCTAGAAGATGTTTGCTAACGTGAGTAGAATTGATTGTAATTTTTTCTGTATACTTTTATTTTGAAATAGTTATAGACTCACAAAAAGTTGCAAAAAAACATAGGGGGGAATCCTGTGTGCCTTTCTTCCAGCCTCCCACAATGCTACATCTTACACAGTTATAGTACAATATCAAAGCCAAGAAATTGACATGGGTACAATCCAGAGCTTATTCAGGTTTCACTAGTTGTACATGAACTTGTTGTGTGTGTATGTGTGTATGTAGCTCTAAACAATTTTATCACGTGTGGCCTTGCATGGCCACCACCACAATCAAGATACTCAAATGGTAATCACCATAAGACTCCCTTGTGTCACCTCTTTATAGCCACACCCATCTCCCTCTCCCCCATTCCTAACTCCTGGCAACCACAAAGCTGTTCTACATGCCTATAATTTTGTTATTTCTTGAATGTCACATGAATGGAATCATGCATCACGTACCCTTTTGATATTGATTTTTCTTCACTCAATGTCCTGGAGGTTTGTATAAGTTGTTACGTGTATCAATAGTTCATTCCTTTTTATTGCTCAGTAGTATTCCATGTATGAATATACCATGGAATTACAATGTTTCATAAAATCAAAAATTTCCTTCATGAGCAGTATTGATTACCTTGGATTTTAGTGACTTATTATGACTTTAGCTTGTAACCTTTATCATACTTTTGAGATTTTTCCATTCTCAGGTTACTATTGAACTACCAGGTAGTGATAGACATGAATCATAAATTTTAACAACCAAGTCACTTGGGTCTTATTAATGCCCAGAAGGTGGCAAAGTGTCATCTAACTTTTCATGAGGCGTTTTGGGAAAAAAATAGAAGTTGAGGTGAGGGACTATTCCATATCACATACAGATAAGTCCTGTTTCTCCCCGGTGCAAGTACTCACCCTTGGACCGTCTTTCCCTGGAGCACCATCAGCACCCGAACCACCTGGTTCACCCTGTCAAATAAAAGCCAACGTCATCAGATTAGACATATCTTCAATGAAAGTCTGCTAAGAACGGGAGCAAACCTTAAGGTTTGTTGTGATGAATAGTGGGTGTTCTGATTAATAGTTGCTCTAGTGATACATCTCAAATTTCACTTATTAGAAAATGATAACATTAAATTTAAAAATAGACTACTTTCCAGCAATGTTGCTTTCCTTTAACTACAAAGTCTGTTTTATTACATAATTAACAGAAAATCATTTAGCACCTTGTCACCCTTTGGGCCAGGGCCTCCAGGACCTCCTCTTTCTCCAGGCATCCCTTGCAGACCAGGAGTACCAGCAGCACCAGGTGGCCCAGGGGGACCAGGAGCGCCCTGAAATTAAAGGATAAATAACAAATCACAAAAAAAAGGTGGAATGCATTTTGTAAAATCTAGGTGAATTGAATTATTTGGAGTTACCTTTCCTCCTTCAGGACCAGGGGGGCCAGCTCCACCTCTAAGTCCGGGGGCCCCTGCTGATCCGGGAGGTCCACGTTCACCAGGGGCACCAGCATCACCCTGTAGTAGGAAAATGTAGTATCCGTGTTAGAAAACTCAATGCCAAAAACAAGCCAAAAACACCCTAAATTGTGTTATTTTGATGCAGACCATTAGGTTCTTAACTTATATTTTTGAACAATTCGGAAACTTTTATAGGTATAAAAGACATTTGATCAACTGAGTGAGAGTTTGAAACTTAGACAGAGTCTAAACAGGGAAACTTTGACCCCTGGTCTAATGAGCTAGCTTTGAAACTATTATTATTTTATTCACAAGGGCAAAGTTTTAAAGTTCTTCTATCAAAACAGTTTTCCTATATAGAATCAATAGACTGGAAAGATTTTTCTTTTGAAATTTCAGGCCCGTAGATGATTCGATGGTATTTAATAATATCAGAGAATTTGATTTTCCAGATGAAGCAAATTTAATGTATTGGAAATGTCTCAAGTTACCCTAAGTGTGCTCACCACACATTTGCAATGTTGCGCTTCTAAAAAAAAAAAAGAATATTTTGGTTTGATACACTAAAAATGTGTCACTAATCAATTGCTCTATAACATGCAGAAGAAATTAGAAAACAAACTGAGATATTTACCTTGCCTCCTGGAATTCCAGGTGAGCCGGCTTCCCCCTTTGGACCCTATAAGATCGGCATTCTATGATTAGGCCTAGATCACAATGCATATTATATAAATATAAGCAAGGTACGCTTTTGACTTGTTTGCATACTGTACAATTTGTCAATTCTTGAGCTATGTACTCTTTTTTTAGTTCCTTTTATTTTATGGTAAAATTCAAACTTTCTACGTAATAGTTATGATTGAATAATTTTTCTTTGTTTTGTTATGTCTATTTCAAAACTAAATGTGAAAACTCAGATACCTTGGCATAAGAAAATGGAAAAGTTAATACTTGATAAATGATTATTATTTATTCTTTTGGTGTCTGAGTTTTGAAACAATGGCATGCAACTTACTGGTTCACCGGGTTTTCCATTTTCTCCTGGAGGACCACCCGTTCCAGGCAAGCCCTACAAAGAATCATATTCGTATTGTGTAATCACTTCAAACATTGTTTACTGATTCCCTCTAGTATGTAAATATGTTTCTGCAAAGTATTCAAAAAATAGTTTAAGTGATCTTTTTAGGGGTAGAAAATTTGTGGCTCTCAAAATCCAATGACAGAGATGTGATATTCATATCTTACAAACCTATTCATCTCCTTCTACTCTTTCTGTTGCTGTATATAAAAATGAATTGATGAGCACGGTAAGATGGATATAGTTTTATGAATTTAAACTATAATGGAAATAAGTATAAACATATAGAATTATGTGAGCTTAACTATTTTTTTAAAATTATTAATGCACCCATTCTGGAATAGACATGGAAGTTATGCCTGTCTATTAACATTGTCTGTCATTTTATTTCAAGGTGGAAGACAGACCCACAAATTTTAAGCCTAAGATGAATTTTAATCTATTATTGTCACAAAAAAAACTGAAGTGTCAATTAACTCAACAAATACAGCTATCAAAGGGAAGTACTTCGTTGTCTGATAAAAGCAGGTGTTCAATGACATTTAAATAACCAGTTCTTACTTGTAATCCTTGTGGACCAGGGAGTCCTGCATCTCCTTTGTCACCAGATGGGCCCTATATTGAAAAATATAACGAGATGCTCCATTATAAAATATCCTCTCATATTTAGTCTACACATTTTCATTTCAGCAGGCGATGGCTTAATTTAAAAATTAATGGTATGAAGGAGGGCAGAGTGTGGCCTGTGAAAGTGATGCAAAAGAGACAAGTACAATATAAACTTTACTCAACGTCAGTATTTAGCAAGCGAGCTAAGTAAGGAAGCTTCGTAATTGCTTTGGTGAACTGTAATGATATAGTGTTAGAGATTACATAATTCCCGAAGTCTTTCCTCTGCCCCACTCCCACCCGTGTCCATCTCCAATTTATGTGAGTAAACTGACCGTAGGTCCCGGGGGACCCTGAGGTCCAGTTTCACCATTCTTTCCAGCAGGACCCTAAAAAAAAACCAGTTAGGGAAGCGGAGTTAACAAAAATAACAGAGAGAAGTCATAGGTTGGAGAAAAATGCTTCTATTAGAAAGCTGGAAATAAGTTGATGAAAGCTACATACCGGAGGGCCAGGACCTCCAGGGCCACCTCGTTCTCCATTCTTGCCAGGAGCACCCTAAAGAAGAAGTGGCCAATATTTACTAAAAGCACCCTAAAGAAGAAGTGGCCAATATTTACTAATTCTCAAAAGGAAATTATTCACCATACTGTTCCCTCATACTTTTGATCTATCGCCTCCATAAACATACATACATACATCCACAACCAAAAACTATTTCTAGAACTAGATTTCCATAAATATTGCCATTCTTTCCCCGGAACTCTACAAAGAATATTTTAGCTCCCTGATCACATGTTATTTTGATTTTCATATATCTCTTTCATATATTTCATATTTCTCTTCTCTGCTTTGAAGTGGAGATCAAGTTTTGGTCATCTCTGCACTTCCATATGGAAAGTAAAAGCCCTTCTGTCAAATATTTATTGAAAAAAGGAAGGCAGGAACTCACATCATTTCCTTTAGGACCAGGGAAACCCATGACACCAGGCTGACCTCGGGGACCAGATGGGCCTGGTGGACCTGGTCGACCACTTTCTCCTTGACTACCCTAATGAGAAAAAAAATTACATTAACAGAGGTTTGATAAATATCTGATAAAAATACACAATATTCATATCAAGGCTGTACAATATACATCAAGGCTAGGCCAAACTATGCATTCTATTATTCACTGGGCTTGTAAAATGAGATGTTAAAAATGTACATACTGGAGGCCCTGGTTTCCCATCACTGCCTGGTCCTCCTGGGCTTCCGGGCACACCCTAAATTAAAGAAGTTAGTCAGTCAGGTGATTTAAAAATGATCATTTAAAAAAAATAAAACGTCTACCTAAAATTTTAAGATTTCCACTTATATATTTGCACACATTTTTTTCTGTCTATAAAGTGTCTTAGTCAAGTGTTCTATTTCCTGTTCTTCCTCCATCAATCCTAGACTGTTTTCTGAAAATAATTTTGTTTTATTTTGAGCCGACAAAATGTGTAGTCTGATTTAAGTTGTCTTTGGTCATTCTCCATTTGCCTTGCTTCTTTCTAAATGACAGTGTCAATCAAACAAGTGTTTCTCTTTACTCTCATTCCTGGGCCTCCAGGGACACCATCTCGGCCAGGTTCTCCAGCAACTCCTCTGGGCCCTGCAGGGCCTGGACCACCACGGTCTCCAGGGGCACCCTAAGAGGTGAAATAAGTCAACAAATACGTAAAAGAGCTGTCATTGACCTAGACATGGATAATATTTATGTTGCAACTAGAGAACTTCCTTTGTTCTCTTAGAGAGAGTTGGTATGTTGCTGACATGCTCTGTATAAAATCAGTTATCTATTAGCTTGGATTGTCTTGTTGAAAATATTTTGAAGCAACTCTGATGAATATCACATGCTTAAAAAAGCAATATTTAGTGGGCTTAACAATATATTTCTGTGCATATAAAGTTACATATGTTTGATGATATGAAATCATATTTGTACAACACTTTAGCGTTTTCAAAGGACATTCAGGAATTTTAGTTTATCTTATTCTTGCAATGATGCTAAGATAAATAATTCCCAATTAACAGATAAGTTAAAGGATTCTCATAGAGGTTAAGTGACTTGCTTTAGTTACAAAGCTAGGAAATGGTTGAGCAGGGGCTAGAATCATTGTTTTACACTGGGAATTATTGTTTTTTTAAAAACTCCAATATATTTCTTTCAGATATTTAGGTTTTAATTAATGGGAAACTATAGAGAAGGATATATCTATTTGTAGTACCAGCGTTTATGAAGATAGAAACTACAGTCATCTACCTTTTCTCCTGGAAGGCCACTTGGTCCAGCAGGTCCTCGGAATCCAGGTGCACCCTGGAAATAGGGAAAGGTAAATATTTCAGTCCAAAGCATTAAAACTTTTTCATAATTCTGAAGTGGCAATAGAAATATTCTCATGCTTTAAATGCTTCAAAACAATATTTGGGATTGAGTACTCAAGAAAAACCACGGTTGCCTCACCCTGAAGTGTAGTTCTGTGTGGATGATAGTGATGCCCATGGAAAACGTACCCTTTCTCCTGCAGTTCCTGGAACTCCGTTGGCACCAGGTTCTCCAGGCGAACCATCTTTGCCATCTTCACCCTTAGGTCCTGGAATACCTGGAGAACCAGCTTCACCCTAAGGAATGATGTTAATAAAAGAATAATCACTGAATTTGGTTGCAAAATTTTTACTGGTTTACTTTCTAATTAGATTGCATTTTTCTAAGAAATAACCAAATCTGCTGAGGTAATACTTACACGTTCACCACGTGGTCCTGGTTCTCCTTTGGCACCATTCTTACCAGGCTCACCCTAAACGGAGCAAAATCTTGGTTTAAAGACAAGGAGAGTAGACTAGCAGAGTCATCACCAGTAACACCTGATGCAATTGTAAAACCAGAATGAAATCAACATAAATTCAGCTGAACAAGAACAAAATCCCCGCTATTTACATTTTTGTTGTGAGAACTAAGCCACACCTCTCAGGCAACAAAGGAAAAATAGGCAACTTACTGCAGGCCCTCGTTGTCCAGGAGCACCATTGGTACCAGACGGTCCTGGAGGACCCCGGGCTCCTATCAGCCCAGGAGCTCCAGGAATGCCAGCAGGACCCTAAGAACAAGCCAAGAACACTCACATTAGCCAAGCTTGAGCTTCCTTTTCTGAATAGCTAACTCAAAACATCCCAAATGGATTGTTACGCAAAATGCAAAGAAAGTCAACAATGTGTGTGTGGATGAAATGAGGGTGGGGGATGGGGACATCTTACCATTTCACCTTTACCACCAGGACTACCACTAGCCCCAGGAGGGCCCTAGAGGAGAAAAAAGCATATTAATAACAATGCAGATAGTGTATATATGTTTGAAGTTTTTTGTATATTTGTAAAATAAATTTATTGGGGGGTGTTGTGCTTTCTAGAGATTAGATGATTTCTCCTACTATAGCATAACACATAAAATGTAGGCAAAAAAAAATCATGATTTGAATAAATTAGAGGTAATAAGCACTTGGTCTAAATTATTAAATAATAAATAAATAGAAGAGGTTTTGGTCTTGTTTTTTCTCTGAATTTTTCTGATTGGTGATTAGTTTGGGGCACATTCTTTGAAGTATCAGATTACTATCCATCCTCTACTGCACTCTGTCATATAAACCAAAAACTCATAAATTCTAGATGAATGCAAGAATCAAAAACTACCATTTTCAGTACTAATCAAACCAGTATTTATTACAGTAGAGTCACTGCAGAGCACTAAGCAACATTTCCTTTCAAAAAAATAATTTTAATTGATAGCAACATGAAAATATATGCTTTCACAAAATAAGTGTAGCAACACTCTCCCTCTCAAAGGCCATATTTGCTACTTACAGGAGGACCTGGAGCACCAGATTGCCCCTGAGGTCCAGGTTCTCCTCTGTGTCCGGGGGCGCCATTTGAACCAGGAGATCCCGCAGGTCCAACTTCACCCTAAAGGATAAACCCTAAGTGGTCAGTTTCCCCTGCCACTTCCAATCTCTTAGCCAGTTTACCCTTCAGCTCTGTTTAAACTCATCTCCCAAAGGCTGGAGTAGTATGACTATATACTCTATCTAAAGGAAAGAGTCATTAAACATGAAGGCATAGAAAAATGGCAACTATGTGTGTGACTGTGTTACCTCTGTTTCCCCAAAAGAGACTGGGAAAAGAGAAAAGGCATCAGAAGAGATATTAGGATAGCTGATACGATGCCAGGAATAACACCCCATTTGGGATCAAGAATAGGGCTTTAAAGGTCTATATAGATAAAAGACATCCACTTGAATGGTAAAAAAAAAAAAAGTCATATTCAAGAAGCAATCCACTGATTTTCTGTTGTCTCCAAGGTGTATTTATATTCTTCTATAGAAATACTTATCTACCTTAGCACCAGGGGAACCAGGGAATCCTGCAGTTCCGGGAGGACCGGGGGGGCCCTGAAAAAGTTAAACACAATGTCAAGAGCTCTTAATCAAGTAAACGAAAGCTAACGCTACTAGTAAATAATCTGTGAGCACATACCCAATACAGAAGACAATTATGCAGGTAAAAATAGTATTTATCATTCATGGATGAATATTATATGGAGAAACAATGTGGTAAAATAAAAAGACAGTGAAATCTAAAGTTAGAAAATTTGGATCCCCCCACCCACTTCTGCCACGAATTCCGGGACTTTGTGCAGATTATGCAGCCCTGAGCTCTCATTTATAAACTGGAGGTAACAGTATTATCTATTTTGCAGGGTTCTTAATTGTCATCTCCAATACCAGCTACTAACTAACAGTGTAAGCACCATACAGATGTCAGCAACCGGCCAAGAATAATGAAAAGTATCAGAATTTTGTTCATGGGCTTAGTGTTTCCAGATTGTGTTTATGGGCTTAGTGTTGGTTTGAATCAGATGTTTATGAACAAGGTTGAGTTTGGGGTCTACAATCCATATTATTCCAATATTCCACAATCCATGATCTCTCCTTACCCTGAAGCAAATCAGGGTGAGATAAAAAAATTTCTTACCGGCTGCCCATCGCTTCCTCGAGCACCATCATTACCTCGAGCCCCCTAAAAAGAGAAGTTTGTCTCAAGTATCTTCTTAATTCTAAAAGGCTGGTCATAAGTAATAGTTTGACTAGAATTCGGACTCAATTGACTTGACTTTTCCTCAAGTATATTAAAATCTGCCTACTAATTATATAATTTTAGAGTCCAATTGTTAAAATTCTGATATATACAGCAATGATCTAATGTAGAAGAATCAGATTCTCTGTTTTACAGAACTGAATGTGAATTAATGGCTCTAACACCATATGCAAAGTTAACACTAAAAAAAATCCTCGACAGAGATAATAACTATAAAACACTTACTTGTTTCCCTGTAATTATGGCTAAAATTTTATGGAGGTGACTTTAGATGCAATTCATAGAAAGGAAATTTTCCTGCAGATTGTCACAGCCTGAAGACCCAGCTGTGACACTTAGCTGTAACTCTGGGTTGTAACTGTACAATTTCAGTAACAATACTCACGGCGGCTCCAGGAAGTCCAGGTCGTCCTCTCTCACCAGGAGTCCCTCGAGGACCCTACCGAATAAAGTTGGAAGTATGGTTTTACTTTAAACTTGACATGTGTAAGAACAGTTGCTGGGGAAGCAAGGCGAGTTTTGGGTTAGATGGAGGTTAACAGTAAAACTGAATATTATATGGGAAACATGATTACCATGGGTCCAGGAGCTCCATTTTCACCTGGAAGACCATTTTCACCCTAGAAACATATAAAATATGTCACCATTGTGTATAACAGGAAGAGAAATGCATAGTTTTTTTGAACACTCCATATTATGAAAAATATTATGGAACCCAAGAAAAAGATATGCATTTTAACAATATCAAGTTTTTGTTAACATTTTATTTGCTATAAATCTCAATTTTTGTATTTTAAAAACTTGAGGACTAAACAGAAGTAATCAATGAGTTACTCAGGGATGTACCATTATTTCTAATCTAGGCAGTCCAAGTTATCAGATTTCATGGAAGCTTTAATAGAACACCTCAATTAGTCACCGATATTTAGCTCCTAAAATGCAAAATTCAGGCAAATTTCAGAAAAAGCTAAACCCCCAAATATAAATCATAAATATAACTATAACATTTAAATAAATTTACTCATGAAAATATGATTTTGTTGTGATTCACCTTTAATCCAGGAGCACCTGTATCACCCTTTTCTCCATTTCGTCCATCGAAGCCCTATGAAGTATAAAAATAATAAAAATATTAAAATCTGTTGATAATCCAGAATGATTGAAAACTTTACATTGAAATTTTTATAACTAGCTTTTACCACACAGCAATATTTTCAACATTAACTTGATTTAAAACTGTTTTAAATAGATTGAAAACATTTGATTTGGATTTTACAGTAAAAAATCTGAACTAATTAGAAAGTACAATTTAGTCCAGTTAGGAAGTTGCCTTAACTGTAGAGTAGCAAGTATTAGTTTCATACATTTTATTTCTAAGTTGATAGATTTTGGCTCAGTTGGCTAAATCTGCCTAATGTTTTGCGTAGAATAATGTTGCTTGATTCAATCTATAAATCATATCGACTAAATCAATGAATAACACACAGTTCTCGATAACATATTTTGATTCTTTTTGGTGATAAGAAAATTCAATTATTCTTCTCCAAGCCTTTCTATAAACTTAAAATTGATTACTTTGTGTAAAATAAGTGGTTAGTTTGGTCAATAAAGTTGGTAGACTTAAAAAAAAATAAACTAGTTGTCAGAATCAACCTTTTTTGGCACATATCAATTGTCCAATAAAATTGATTAGACAAGTACACACATAGGCAAATGGAACGGCTTATAGTCAATTTAGAAACTCTACTTACTCTGTGTCCTTTCAAACCTGGGAAGCCAGGCATGCCAGCTGGACCCTTGAGACCCTAAAAGCAATGAATAGAAAAGATATTAATGAACCTTCAAATAGAATCACAATCCAGTAGTAAAATGCCTCCCTATTTTTAAGTTTAATTCAATTTAATTACATAATAATTTTCAAGCTAGGATCATTGTGATTACTCCAATGAATTCATTGGATACCGAAGACTTACTGGAGGTCCAGGCAATCCTCGCTCTCCAGGTCGACCGGGTCGTCCTGATTCCCCCTAGGTCAAGAAATAAACAATACGTCGGTGCTTGTGGAGGGGAAAATACACTGTAGCCAATTAGCAAATTGATAACTTTGCATTTTTATCACCAAGGACTCATGAAAATGGTTGGGCTAAACATACAGTTGTGCGATCAGCTTTCTTAGTAGAAGGAATGAGGAGGGCTTCTCCCACTTTGATATACACTTATGAATAATGCAAGTGTCTCTCATCACTGAAATATTGTGACCATCTCTCAATCCAGTATAAGAATTTGCCATTGGAAATTAAATGGGAAAGAAAGAATAGGTGTTTATAAGTTTTGAAATTCATAAAGTACTGATATAAATTTCTTCATTACAAGAGGCGGAGAGAAGAAACTTATTTCTCCTCCTATTAAGTAATACATGATGAATCTTCTTGACTCGGGGGGTTCTGTGAGTTTGGAATTCAGTAAATGGTATATGTAGCTATGTAAATACTGTATGGATATTCAAAGATTAATATGATCTAAAATGTCTTTAAGATGTCAAAGTTTTTTGAGTAAGGTTTTTCTCTCTGAGATTCTGGCATATGGTATATGCTATTTAGAATATTCCAAGTGAAATTTTGCTGTATCCCCATTCAATCCTTAAAAACTTACGTCTTTTCCGGCAGGACCAGATGGACCTAGAGCACCAGGAGGTCCTGGAGGGCCCTGAAAATAAGGAAATAAAGAACAAATATATCTGTAGATTTTCTGTTACAATCAATTTATTATTATATATTATGTGTATTCCTGGAACTTCCTTTTAGAAAATATCGTCAATATTTCTCATCATGAAAATGACACATTGAGTTAATACCATACCTACATTATATTCAGTTTTTACTGTTTACTAAACTTATTTTTAATGAAAATTAAAAGTATTATTTATCTACATTTTATATCACATGTGTGTGTTTATAAGCCCAAATATGCTTGTACGTTTTTTGAGATATTGAATTTTTAAATATATAGGTATTTCCAAATATTTCGAAATATTAAATTTAACTTCTCCTTATTTGTTTATTTACACAGCATGTTCTCCTGGAGGACTCTATTACATTATGTTTATTTCTACTATACTAAGTTTAAAAATTATATATCAGTAGAGTAGATATGAAGGTGAACCAAGTGATGACAGGAAAATTAAATCCATATTTAAGATGGAGGATTTGTATCCACACTAGGAAGTGGACTGTTGTGATCGCTAATTAGCCAAGGAACTCCTAGATAAAATAGTAAGTATGTAAGATATCTAGACCATGAAAAGACTCTGAAAGATCTTTGAAACCAGTTCAACTACTATAAAAACACTACATAATTTTTAAATGTAAGCGTAAATTTAATCTGTTCTTTGTAGGGACCTATAATAATGTTTTAGAAAATGGAGGTGGTTTCTATACAGAATTGTCAATTTGTTAAACAGAGATATAATTTTTACTTACTGCAGGACCAGCTTGCCCAGGTTCACCAGGGGGACCTTGGTATCCCGGAGAACCCTAGTGAATAGAATAATATGTAAATAATTTTTAAGCGACTTAGTCTCCGTATGATCCATTTACATCCTGAAAACAGTATGAAATCAGGATTTGTGAATGTAGTCAGCGAATTTTATTCCAGTTTATAAAAACTGAAACCCAAATTTTCAGACCAGAATAAAATAAATTTATTCCATTCCATCCACTTCATTCCACTGAAACTGAATTGTTTCGAATTTGAAGCCATATTACATGCAAATTAAACATGTTTTACCAAGATTTTAATTGCTAATAGTTGTTGGTAGAAAGGAATTAAATATGAAATTCCAACATCTCTGAAGGAATGACAGTTTCTTGGTTGTGACTTCTCTACTTAATTGGGATTATTCATAGCGGAATGGCTAAATTACAGCAGGATCTGTATTAACCTGATTTATATAATATGCATGAAGAAGAAAGCACCACTATGTATGTATATCACAGCTATACTTACAGGAGAGCCAGGATGACCAGATGCACCAGGGGGACCGGGAGGGCCGGGAGGACCCTGGAATGCAAATTTGAAGGATAAATACAAAACAAACGCACTGAAATATAGTCTATACAGGCATCAAAGAGATGCCTCTGTTTAGGGATGATACCGACATCTTTAAAAATGAGAACATACGTCAATATGTGATAACTATTCATGGATATGATTAATTTTATTAGCTTTACAATGAAGGTCTCATCACAAAAGCATCACTCTAAATTAAATTCCCACAGAATCAATAAAAGTTATTAGTAAATGTTATAAAATATTTTCCAATGTCTCCTCCCAAAAGGAGATTCAAAATCTGGAAAAATCCATGCAAAATACTATGAGAATCCCTGCAACGTTAGGAAAATACTGGTACTGGTGAAGAAGCGTTTTTTTGCCTGGCAGCCAAACTCACTGCAGAAAAGTATCTGCATACTATAAATCCCAGTTTTCTAAAAATAGTGATGTAAATCAACCCAAAAGTTCTTAGCGCTATCACTGAGTTATGTTGACATGAAGATTTAGATGTGCTTATGAGAATCATCATATATGGGACAAGGATGAATTACAAATACAATCAATTGATTAATTATTGTTCAGAAATATAGGGTAAACTAGAAAACCTTCAGTTTTGTAGCATACTATTTCTAAATACTGGTAATAAATTTATAAAACTACAGTTTGTAATTAAATTTTCTCTTGTAACCTCTTTTCTGGAATGCTAGCAAGTTAGTGAGTTAGGGTAGAAGGATCATGATAATCCTACCATTTTAGTTCCCAGCCTTAATAGAGAATAAACTATTTTGCACAATTCTGTAATAATACTGTATTACTAGAAGAATAACCATTCAAGAGTTAGCAAACTGGAAGGCTCAATAATGCTCTAAAGTGTTGAGAAACGCTTGTACATACAGCTGGCCCGGGGTAGCCTGCAAGTCCTGCTCCTGCCACTCCAGCCTTGACATCGTATGACTCATACTGGGGAGAATAGTTCTGTAGCAAAGAGACCAGAAAGATATGGTCACATGAATATATAGATCACAGTTCTTTTCAAAAGCATTTAGAAGAAGTGAATGCAACATTTACTATTCACCGATAGAAAGTTTCTGCAGGCCAGAAGATGTAACATGTGCTAGTTAATTACCTTGCTTATCCTGTCACTCCGCAGCTTCGGCTATTAGCTATCCTACAGAAATACTTACTTATGTAATGCATAGACCTTTCCACTAACTGTATGCATTGTTAATCTGAAATCATTTGTTCCTGTAGGCTCTTACTCAAAATACTGTTTCTAAGCAATAACCACAGCATTAGAAACATAGTATCATAGACTGTTGGAGGCTGAAAGAGCCTTGAGATAATATAATCTGACCTTCTTATTTTTTAGCAGAAAAACTGGAGGAGTCGAATTACTTTCCCAACAGTTAATGATAAAGTAAAATTTATATTCCCTGGCTTCTGGTTAATATGCCTAATATTCAAACAAAAATAAAAATTCTCATAGAAAATAGGCACAAGAATAATAAAAGGTCTCATGTTCTTATTGGATTTCTTTGAAGATTATTTTATTTTGAAATCTAGACCTTGCAATGGGTTCTGTTTGGTACCAGGACAAGAATAAGTTAGATGATAACCTTTGATTCCTGTTGAATTGATTTTTGAAAAGCATTTTTTTTAAAACTCATAGTGATTTGTGTATATGTTTTCTAATTTCTCCTAATTCCACACAGTAAGAATGTCATCTTACTTATTTATTTTACATGCAGAATTAGTTGGTTGTCATGATTTTCAAAAGAAGCATGCTGTGCTCTGAAGGCTTGGCAAAAGTAGTTGCAAAGGTTTGAATAGTCCTGTTGATTTGAAATCACTAAGGAGTGTTCATAGCTCTTCAACTGCTTTTTGTCCCAACTTTCAGAGGCTTTACCATTGGGGTTGTACAGGCAATAAGGCACAGTTGCAGCAATTCCTAAATTCTCTGGGTAAATTCTTTCAGGATTTCATGATTCATTCCCCAAACATGGTGCATATATTATATGTCTGCTGAGAAGTTGGGAGATTTTGCAAAGATATAGTAGCAATAGCATTAGCATTATGAGGAAAAGTGAATATTTATAAAGCACTTAGAATAGTACCCAGCACATACAAGCACTAAATAACGATTTCTTAAATACATCAAATCAGAAAATAGATATAAGAAACCCACAAGAGTGAGATGTAATATAGGCTAAAGAAAAGAAAATGAACTAGGTAGTTTTAAAGAGGGGGATCTTTTAGTCCTGGAACTGATTACCTGACCACCAGTGGAGCATGATTCACAGATTCCAGGGGGGCCAGGAGAACCAGGGGAACCTGGTTGCCCTGGAATACCAGGATCACCATCTCTCCCGGGAATACCAGGAGGGCCCTAAAAAAAAATCGGGGATAAAAATTAATAAAACAGTGAAACTTCCTAGTGATTCAGAATCGTTATTGAATTATAGCTTCTCTGCTTTATAATATAAGAAATCAACATAAGTGAGACATTTTCTTGAGAATACATATATTTTTATCCAAATCATGTGAAAAATTTCAGTGTAATTTATTCCTTCGTATATTGACCTATATTTTATTTTTCAAACTGACAATGGGGATGAAGACACTATACAAAATTTGGGAAATTTGTATCTTTACACGTACAATTATGGATTCTCAGTTTGAGTTATTTTGTGTCATTTAAATACATGGTCCTAGAGGAAACATATGAATGATGAACGTTCAAATATGGAAAAGCTATTAGAAGGAAAAACAAAAAGCAAAGTACTCAAGGAACTAATTTCCTTCCACTGGACAATGTTTACTTACTGGATCTCCCTTGGGGCCTTGAGGTCCATGACCATTAGGAGGGCGAGTAGGCTAATAAATGGAAAAGATACAGATTAAATAAGACATAGGAACAACTTTCCCATGAAGTGTGTCCCAATTTGCATATTTATTTCTCAGCCCAAATCACATCCATTTCCTAGTTTAAACTAGAACATTCGCCTTTTACATGTAACCTCAATATGATTGTTTGACAGATGTTACTTTCATTTCCTTTCAGGCTCCTATGATGTAGGAGCTAGTCATGTGTTTAAATATGAATCTTGAAGGTGTACAGATTATCTTTAAACTCACAGCTGTTGGAGGCTGGGGGCAAACTGCGCAACATTCTCCAAATGGAATCTCTGGGGAGGGACAGTCTAATTCTTGTTCGTCACATATTATGTCATCACAGAGAACAGATCCTGAGTCACAGACGCATATTTGGCATGGTTCCGGCTTCCAGACATCTCTATCCGCATAGGACTGACCAAGGTGGGAGCATCCTCCTTCAACAGCTGGAAAATAAGTTACATGGTGTGATGTTTTCATATGTTTTGCTGAAATGTGATTTTCATTATGCTATTGTAACTATTTCCAGTTGCCAAGGTGGAAACAATTTGAAACAAATAATTTTTTCCTTTCATTAAACTAATTTGTGAGTATGTTCTTATAAGCATGCTTAGGCAAAAAAATACACAAATTAAATTACCAAGAATATCATATTCTCCCTACATAATTTGCTAAGGAGTAAGAGATTGCTTAAAATATCTGTTTATTAACATCAAATTCGCACACTGTAGTAAATTTTTCTTAAGTCCAGTAAGTATTTTAATTTTGTTTATAGCAAGAATTTAACACCAGTGGAAATCACACAAGCACTTAAACATGTATTGATTAATTGTGCAATTGAAAACAAGCCTATCTACCCAAATGCTATTCTTTGCTTTAACAGTAGATGGGAGCATTAAACTATAAAGATGATTTTGTCACGAACTCTGAAGACTTTCTGGATTTTATTAACCTAGTTGAGAAATTCAGGGGAAAACTGATCTACTCTTGGCAGCATAAAATTCTTCTAGATTCCTGGGAAAACTTCAACAAACCTTATTGTATGTATTGAATATCACAGCTAGCTCTGTTGGGCATTAGTAGGTCAACATGATATGATATAATATATTGTATATCTCATATGGATGTGAAGAGGTTTCCAAACCACTAAAAAAAGAATGGTGTTTTTTTTTTAAACAAATATTGGCAAGGAATAAGTAAAAATAATAGGAAAAAATATGAATCATGGTCATGTGTATTTGTGGCTTAAAATGGTCAAAAATTTGCTTCAACCAAAATTTTAGACTTGTTTCCTAATTATATGCAAGGTACTGAAATTTCGGCATCTATTAACAATGAATCAGCTTAGGGATCGCCAAAATAAAACCTGGTCTCAATTCTTAAAGCATTCGCTGTGGATTGTGGTTAAATACAACTTTAGTTCTTGAGGATTACTATGATAGTTTGCCAGGAATTGAGTAAATAAATAAGAAATTTCTAAACATCTGCAAAAATTTTTGCAAACAACAAATGATATACTGTTCAATATTTGTATTTTTGAGAAACACTGAAATTTTATTTTCCCGGAGCAGAGACCTTTAGAATGTTTGCTGAAAGAGGCCTGCTTGGGAAGAGGCAAGTAGTTTAACTAGACTTTCTGCCGCCTTGTGGCCAAGAGGCCTTTGAGTGGCTCATGAGATTTTTCCGTCTGGATTCTACATACAGCCCTGAAGACCATCTTTTTAAGTTCCCATTTCTATATTCTCTCCATATCTGAAGTAATAATGATATAGGTTCCCGCAAAATACTTTGGGTTTAGAGGTTTAGCTGGTTTAGTACAAGTTCACAAAAACAGGAGAATTTCAGAGCCTGTAGACTCTGAGTACCCAAATTGCCTCCATTCCTCATTTCCACTTATGTGTGCAAATATAACTTGAATGATCTTGTGCAACACCCTTGATCGATTCAAGAAGTTTAAAAGTCCATTCTTAGGTTCTGTTACAATTTCCCGATGCAGTCTACAGCTAATAGATGAAAGCATGATTGTTTTACTGCCATTTTAAGCAAGCAAGAAAGAATCTGTTTACTTAGAAAAGTTATTCTAGTTCCTCCTCCATGTTTAGAACAGATATATGAGAACATTGGAAAGAAATATTGTCTAAGCTTTTAAAGGAGCATTCCTTTATACTTAGGGAGCACAAAAGCTGAATGCCAAAATGCTTACCTAATGCAAACGAAGTAGGCCTATTTAAATGGTGTTTTGAAAAATATGCTTGAGAGAAGCACAAATAATCTTTTCCGCATTATTTTGAACAGTAATAACATAAGAGGGTCCAGGCATTAAACTTATTGTTCTCTAAGCAAAACTGCTTAGACATCTTAGACATTTTTTATTTAAGAACTAAGTTCACTGGTTTTCAGAAAAGGTCTAAAAGTTTTGATGAGATACAAGATTGTTTAATAAAATTACATGAGACACACTCTTTGATCTTTGCATTGGCTTCCTTTTCTTAAAATGAATCATTTAAAAATTCTCTCTAAATTAACTTTATATAAAATGTTCCAACAGATTAGTTTTAGCTGAAGATTTCCCCATTACCAATGTGGATTTCAGTCTTCCCAGCCCCCTTGAAAATATCACTAGTGTATAGAATGTTGACTAGAGGTAGTAATACTGTATTTTATACTTGAAATTTGCTAAGAGAATAGATCTTAAGTGTTTTCACCACACAAAAAAGTTAACTATGTTAAGGTGATGGATGTATTAATTAACTTGATCGTGGCAGTCATTTCACAATGTATGTGTATATCAAATCATCATGTTGTACACTTTAAATATATACAATTTTGTCAATTATACTTCAGTAAATCTGGGAAAAAAGAAAAAAACATTGCTAGTGTATACTAATGATTCTTTCGGCTCTTTGTCTCTGGATCGGGAATATCTTTCTACATTTAACCCAGGACCTGTGTTATAAAAATTAGCTGTTGGATACTAACGACGTATTAAAGACAAAGGAGAATACCAGTTAAAGCTAGGGTCAAGCATCTCAAATATCTTCTCTTCCTATATTCTTAATTTGCCTTAAAAGTAATGTAATTTTTCCCTTGTGTATTCATCCTCCTGTGTCTATGTCTCATTGAAGTATCATCACATCGCTAGCAATACAGTATTTCCCATTTGCTCTGCAAACTGTTAAATGAGCACCATATTGACTTATTAAAATTGTAAACAAATTTGTTAGAATTGGGCTAAACCCAATGTTATATAAACAAAAATTGTTATTTAGCTTCGTTTCCAAATTTTATTAGAAACTGTGTGTTATGCTTTTTAAAACACAGAGGTCTCAATATGAAGGCTCAGTTATTTTAGCGTACTTCTCTTTTTTTAAAAGTGATGTTCTAAGTAAAAGAAGAAAGTTGGAATATTTGAAAAGTAAGAATTATTGTGGTTTTGTTTATGGCTATAACTTATTTCACATCCATTTGAAAGAAATTTGGCTCTCCTGAAAAGTCTGCTCCTGTAGAAACTTGTGGCTGCAAGTCAGACTTTTCTCTGTTGCTCTACCTCAGCCACTTTTGTTGAAAAAATGGAGAGTTTTATGCAATTTCCTCTATTTTTTTATTCTGTGCGTGACAAAATGTGGTTGGCAATATGTTCTACCAGAAGCTAAACCTCTCATACAAATGTCTGATGGCCCTCTGTTTTAGTACCATAGCCTAGTTATATGTGGGAAAATCAAGGCAGAGTCAAGGAAAAGAATGTTTTGTTTTCAAGAGGAATAAAATGTTCTAGTTAGCCACTTGCAGCAAGAAATGAAATAGAAATGGGATTTAGAAATAATAGTCATCTCATATTATTCCCTTCTTTTCTGAGATATCCAAATTCAGAGCAGCTCTGATAAAAAATAAGTTAAATACTTTTGCAAAAATGTTAAATAAAAGGCAAATAATCTTGTTTTTACTACTGAACAAGTAAGAGATTTTCCAATAACTTCCTTTATTGTTATTGCTCAAACAAGTCTCCAAGTTCCAATTTATAATTAATTTTAAATCCCACTTCTCACGTCACTTGGTGTTTCTGTTCCTTATTACAAAGTATAGTCCTGAAACAAATTTACTTGTGGTTACACAAGCAACTCAGTAGACTAAATCATCTCCTTACTGGGATCTAAACTATAAAACAAAATAAAGCTAGTATATGACATAATCCACTCTTAGCTTCTTTCATTTCCTAGCTCTCTGTTTTGGGACTTTTGAGAAAAATAAAACCAGGTAACATAATCTAATAATTTTAGACGTACTTAAAGCTTTCCTTTTTGTAGTTTTTGTTTCCGGTCTTCAAATGTTAACTTACACTGATTTGATAGAATTTCATTGTTGAGACTAAAAAATAATGCAAATTATGTTTGTCTTAATTCCACATTTGGAGTAAAAATAATATGCCCTAAAGCATGTAATCAAATTTTTAATATAGCCTGAGTGACTTGTTCAATTTTTTTCTCTTCTCTTCTTACTGAAGCCTCATCTGGGAAAAGGTGTTCTTTAATCTGAAAATCTAAAAATAACAGATGTGATATGCAAATTATCATAACATTACTTTCCTGTTACTTTATAAAGTTGAATATTTTGTAAGTGTGGGTATATGGAGTTCATATAGTTTCCAACTGAAATATATTTGGCTTTTAAATGATACTAATGTTTGGAGAACATACATTTTCATTAAATATGTTTCTGCTGCTTATCTATTTATCAGAATATCTTAAAATATGTTAGATGAGTTAACAAAAAGGACTCTGAAGGAAATATCTGTAGACCTATCTGGATGGATAATTTCAATTTTAACTTCAATGTTGTTTTGCATGGGCAAGGTAGATTCTGCTTATTCTTGCTCCCACCAAAAAACCTAAAAAACAAAAAACTTTATGAATCATCATTTCTAGACGTTTCCTTGTTTTACTCTTTACAGATATATGATTTTTATGTCTCCAATTAGAAATTTCCTTTAAAGAGATTAATATTTTGTCCTGTGAAAAATTAAAATAATTAGAGAAGTAGAATTAAAAGTATTGTATATCTAGCAATCAGCAATTGCATTATAATATAATCTGATTAGTGACAAATTCTAGGAATACTGAAGAAAATATATTCTCCTTGGCTTATTAGTTGGCAAACATTTAAATTTTACATCTGATAACCAGAATTTTATATTTTACCTTTCTTATCACTAAGTCACTAAGTGCTTTAATTTTTCCCTTACGTTAATTTTATTTTCCAGTGTTAGTAAAACTAATCCTCAGCAGAGCTTGTTCAGTATCTCCTATGTTATAGGCACCGTTCTGAGGGATTTGCACGTCAATTTTACTTAACCTTCTCAAAGGCCCCAGGAAGTGAATGCTATCATAATGTTCATTTTGCAGATGAGGAATCTGGGCACAGAGGTGGTAAGCAATTTTCTCAAGGTTGG